TGCTCCCTCACTAGCACAGGTACAGGCCAGTACTGGGCCTGGCTCAGCTCTCCGGAAGGGCTGGGTGCAGAAGATGGCACCTCTGCCTGCCAAGCACTCCCCAGGGAGTGTTTTTAAGACCATCCAATAAATTTTTTTTTTTTTTAAGAGAGCCTGGCTCTTTTTCTTGTGGGGACAGGGGAGGAGAAGGACCCCCCCATGATTCTCTAACTTGGAAAGCAGAGCAAGGGCCTGTTAACAGCAGTTATCTTCAGCTGTTCAACTGGAAGGGCATTGGGGTCCCAGCCTGGGCCACATGGAGACCCCCAGAGCATTACCAAAACATAATATTTATTCCTCGGGTGTGGGTTGCTGCACACTGTACGCATGTGCACAGGCCTGCCCTCTCCACCCACACAGGGCGAGTAAAAACCATCACTGTCCCTGGCTGCAGCACAGACAGGGCAAGCTGTGAGTGGCACAGCTCCTTCCATCCAGCAGCTGCTGGGAAGTGGGCAGGGGTTCTGGGAAGGTGCCACAGGGAGGGATGCTGCCTGCCGGCCCCCACGCTCCAGGCCCAGCACTCGAGGCAGTACTGGGCTCCGAGGATCCGTGGCAGTGGTTGGATGGCTTGGGAGGTTAGCGGGGGCCCGTCAGATTGTCGGTCAGCACAGGGAGGGGATGCAGGGCACTCACCTGCCTGGGCTCCCCACCAGGAACCTGTGGGGACAGAGATGGCACCATCAGCCACATCCCCATCACGCCAGCACCTCAGCAGCTCCAGCCACACACACTCACCATTCCCCCCGTGCTGCCACTGCCTCCTTCCGCACCAGCCTCTTCTTGTCATCCAAAGGCTTGGCCAGTGCCCGGATAACCCGGGCCTTGTACGGGAGGAGCTGTAGGACAGAAAAGGCTCTTAGTGAGAGGGCTGGGTGCTGGCTGTCCCCCTGGAGGACGTTTAGGACCCCCTTACCCCTCTACAAGCAGGAGTGGGCAGCAGGCTGCTGCAGGAGCACTTACCACTGTTACGGGCAGGCTAGTAAGCGCGTGAGCACAGCGCAGGGCAGCGATGCGGACAGCCTGGAACAAACGGGTGAGGGCAGTGGAAAGGGCAGAGGAGAGGGGTGTGTTGGGGGAAGGAGGGAGTGCACGCACCATGGTAGGGCTGGAGGTGAGGCTGAGGAACTTGGTGACCAGTGTGTCAATGTGCAGGCTCATGATCTGGGGAGCTTCGAGCAGCAGCGGCTGGAGGCAGCTCAGCGTGGAGAGCTGCACCACACGGTCCGAGCAGGACAGGGCCTCAAGCAGGAGGGAAAGCAGCTGCGGTTGGAGAGGACACAGGAGACATGAGTAATTCCCAGCTGTGTACTCTGTGCTGCTGCAATCCCCCTGTGCAAAGGCTGGCTCTCACCGTGGGCAGCTCTGTCACCAGCACGGGCTTGGGGAGGTGGTTGAGCACATGGGACAGGGCCTTCAGGTAATTGGCCTTCACGCCTGTGAAGAGGAGAGATGGTTAGAGGCAGCCAAGGGAAGGAAGGGATGCTGGCTCAGGTCCTCTGGGCACAGGGAGCATCACAGGGTGGGTCACGGGGTGACTGCTCACCGGGGCCAGCCCCATGGAAGCCCTGCACCAGCTTGGGGACGTTGTCAGTGAAGAAGCGCTGGCGGAACATGATGCGCACATTGGCGTGGCAGCCTTTGTGCAGCACGTCTGGGGACTCCGCCATGAGCAGGAAGAAGCCATCGGCCACAGCAGGGCCCAGCTCTGAATCGCCCAGCAGGCCCAGCAGCTGCGAGGGAGAGAACCCTGAGAAGGGGTGCCCTGCTGCTGGGGGTTCCCAGACGGCCGCAGGGGGAGCGGGCAGGCTCCTTGGACATGACCCACCCCCACTGCTGCCTACCTTGTCTGTTAGGTGGGAGCTCAGGGGGTGGTAGCGCAACACCAGGGCTTTGGTCACCTGTGCAGGCAGAGCAGAGTAAAAACCTGGCTCTCCCCTCCTCCCGTGCCCAGGCCAGCCCTTACCCAGAGCAGCAAGGTGAGTGCCTGTGTTCGGCGGGGCCCCTCCACAAGGCTGGGCTCCATCCTGTTCACTGCAAGCTGCAGGATCTCATCCAGCTGCTGCCCTGGGGACACAAGAAGGAACACACTGAGCCATTCCCCTACCAGCAGTGGGCAGAGACCCACGGTGTCCTGCCTAGACCCCTTACCTTCCGGGTGCTTGTTCACTAGCCCTGCGAAGCACTTGGCAGCTGTGGTGGCTGTGAAGGGG